GCAGTTCGGAGAACTGGTTGTTTACTTTCTAAGTAGTTCAGAGAACTGGTTGTTGGAAGAAATCTTTTGTTTTTTCCCACTTTACAGGGCTAATCCTGTAAGGAAGGCAGGAAGGAAACATTCTGGTGTTTTTCTATCCTAACCTTTATTGCCCTGCTTACAGAAACTGCCTTTCCGGTTAACCCTTATGACATTGTAACAGCTAAGGCGAAGCGCCTATCAATCTGAGTGACCTTGAGTTGGCCACACCCACCCAGTCACATGACCATCGAGCCCCGCCTACCCAGCTGGTCATTAGGGCAGAGAACTGGTTGATAAATTATTTGAATCCCACCACTGTGGTTCATGTATCTGCACTAATACATTTAGACAGTGTTTGCAATTAAAGTATAATAGTATTTACTACTTATGGGGCTATCTATAATTCTGTTCCCGTAGCTCTTACAGTATAATGTATATAATCAAATATAAAAATGCATCCAATATAAAAAAAATGTGAATTTAATATATAAGAATGACATATGTATTACTTACATTGGAATCATTGATTACTTCTGAAATCGTATTAAGCATCCCTTGCCAGATCCTGGAAAGATCCCGGAGATTAAACACATAATGGAATTTGGCCGGAGTTGGCAACATTTTGATCTTGGTTATTTGCCACAACCGCCGGGTCAATGGGACCAACTTAGCAACTGTTGCTCTCACGTCTTCCAAAAAGCCTCTTTGGCTACAATAATGCCCTGTGCCAATCACACCTGGAGAATTCAAGTTACACACTCTAAGAAATCCATCCATTTTCACATCTGACCTATACCGCTGTGAACAACATCATCCAATCACATTAAGTTTTGTTGACTGAGTGCAGCGTAGAAACGTTTTAAGTAAAATTAATAAATACAGAAGATATTTATTAATTAAAACAGCATATTATGATACCCAGTGAATGAATGCACTTTTTAAAAAATGCCTGGAAAACGTAGCACACATGCCAACACTGAGGTTAGGCATGACATAGAGCCGTGATGACGAACCTATAGTTCACATGCCACAGTTGCCACACGGAGCCCTATATGCGGGCATGCAAATCGTTGCACCAGCCCCACCATGCATGCACACGCCTTCCAACAGCCAGCTAATTTTTGGGTGTTTGCCACACATCCATGGGGAGCAGGGGGCATGCGGAAGATGCATGCGCATGCATCTGGGTCATGCACAGGAAGTCACATGCTTGCATGGGGGAAGCCCGGGGGTTGCAGCACCGCCCTGCGGCCCATTTTTGTCCCAAGAGGCTGCAGGAGGGCCGGCTAGGCTCAAAACGGGGTGCGGAGGGCAGGGGTCACACGCACATGGTCAGGTGTCATGCGGGGGGGATGCGTGCATGTGCAGGGGGGTGGGCCACACACGGGAGATTGCACGCTTATTGCATTATGGGTGTGGGCATGTATGTGCATGCTGTTGTGGTTACCCATCACTGGCATAGAGGGATTAAAAGGGGGAAAAAACCCACTGAACTTCCTCATCAAATCTCAACCAATGTAAATTGTTAAAAATAGAATATCCCAGGAAATCTATTTTAATATACATTTCCCAAATCATGGCTCTCCCATATAAACTCATTCCTTTAGTTTAATGGAGCTAACGTTTTTCGTTCATGCTTTATGTTTCTATGGTTTTGTGGGGGATTTTTTCTCTCTCTCTCTTGTTTTGAAAATAATGACAGACATTAGCAATGTAATACTAATGCTGCAATTCTAATGCATCTGCTCACACACAGTCGAAGGTATTATTTACATCTCCCCTCAAATGTTTCCCTTTCTTAGCTTTTCAAAGCAAAACAAACACACTAAGTGCTACACCTAATGAGCAACAAGACTAAATAGCCAGCCTGTTATTATTTTTTTACCAAAAATCTTGTCAATGGATGGGTTAGAAGGCAAGGTACAATTAAACACAGAAAACTGCCTCTTCAGTCTCTGAGGGATGTCATTTCGTCCCCCACCAGGGTGTATCATGGCAGCCAAAAACTGGATGTCGACAATGTTGGTGAACTCTCCAGGCTTCTCCAAATTATAAAACCCATTTTGCTCCGTCAGTTGCCTAACGATCTCATTAGTGACCTGCAAGAAAGGTTTCACGATTAGAAACAACTCTTTTTGCAATGCAGCAGATTATATGCATAAAACAACAGAATGGATTTTAATGTCTCTTCTTTCCACCATAAACTTTCTAATTGATAATCCTATAGTTTTCCCAGTGAGTTCTTTAATCTCTATGTCTAGACCCAACTGGGCATTTCCTTTGTGTCTGCCATTTTCAGTTTCATGTAACTCTCTCCTTTCCACTTGTAAAAATTATGAAGGCGCCCAAAAGAACATTTGTTTGTGTGGATTTATCATTTTCTACCAAATTAAAAATTAAAATTGATCTGTTTTTTTGCCACTACCTCTTCTCGTGACTGGTTGTGATTTTAATATTGCATTGTTTTTCAGCATAGGCTGGAAAATAATTTTAATTTCACAGGCCCTTGAGAAGTTTTGGGGGGATCCTAGGACTATACTTTAACAACAGAATGGATTTTAATGTCTCTTCTTTCCACCATAAACTTTCTAATTGATAATCCTATAGTTTTCCCAGTGAGTTCTTTAATCTCTATGTCTAGACCCAGCTGGGCATTTCCTTTGTGTCTTCCATCCTTTAAGAAGAACAGGCTGATGTAACCATACCCCAGTTCCAGCAGAGATATAACAGATGCAGCTCTTATCATTTCTAATCCCGATTCGACAGGTCCTGACCAGAAATTAGAGGCAGGAACATCCAGTCCTGCTTTCACAAATCCATTTTCAGTTTCATGTAACTCTCTCCTTTCCACTTGTAAAAATTATGAAGAAGCCCAAAAGAACATTTGTTTGTGTGGATTT